CCGAAGCATTAGCCTTTTATAAGATAAATAGTAAAGAAAATCAAGTTGATTAATTTTTGTATTTATTAAATATTTGTTGGGTCGTCATATTTTTTTTTCTAGACTACAAACTCATTTTTTAAAGAATCCTGATATTCAGAATTAATCAATATTTTAATAAAATTATAAATATTCAAATTGCATTCTGTTTTAATTTCTAGGCGAGGAGTTATCATTAATTACAATATTTATATGCAGTCTCGTGGTTGCCATTACGATGTTTCGACCGTTGTGCCCTCGAGGCCTTCATCAGGTGTATTTCGATCTGGGTAACCTACAGGAAATTTCTAACTGAACCCTTTATTGAATATACGTGGGTAGATTATTTTTGTTCCTCTGCCTATGTCTAGGGATATCTCATCTATTTCTTATTTAGTATTGAGTTTCCGCTGAGTAAAAGTACACACTGACCAGCCCATGGATTGAACTCACAATTACTTTGTCACCGAATTCATGAAACAATGCTTTAAGCCATTAGCCTGACAATTCTGTGTGGAGAATCTGGAGCAGTAAACCTAACCTGCCTGCTGATGAGAGATTTTGCTGCTTGTTATGCTTGACTGCATCCACTGAAGGTTCTTTTTTGACACAGCTGATGATGCTGTTGAATACCTGCTGTCATTTGTCTTTCTTTCTTTATAAGCGACTCCCATATCATATTCATTTTTATGCAATGCCTACTTAAAAGGTCATAATAGCCTCACATATGTGCTGGTAATTTCAGACATCTAACTCACTAGTGTTCTTCCTTGCCCAGTATTCTCACTTTATTCTACAGGGGTTGATGACTACACTTTTTCCTCCATATATGATCAGCCATGCCTGATTTCATTGTTAACCTTACTTTTAGGAAGCGGCTAGTTTCACCTTTATATTCTTTGCTCAAACTACAAGGAATGGAGTACAGTTTTTGGTCATATTCTGACTAGACTGCTTATGCATATTGTCATGATATTGTATGGACTGCAGATCTTCCGAATCTTTTCCGATAATCCTCTGACATAAGACAAACACCGTGGCAATTTTCTTTCTCTCCTCGTCGATCCTACTATTTCCACCTGCAAACACTAATATTATGCTTCTAGATTTGTAAGGTACGCTTCATACTGATAATTTCCAGTTGATATGTGTCTGTGACGTCATTTATGATTCTTGTACTCTGTTGTAGGCATCGGTGGGAATTGAAGTGGAAGTGAGGGTTGGCTTGTGATATATATATATATATTTTTAAGCATTTCACCCCAAGCAAGGCAGTAGTCCCACTAGCACGTAAAGGGTTACAGAGAATGAGAGCAAGAGTAAACAGGGGTGTTTGAAGAAATGGTATAGAGAGGGACGTGGATCAGGATCAAGTCATCAGAAGATATCGATTTGCATTACATTTGAATATTTTAAGATTATAGCTATCAGGGAAGCAAATAGGATGAAGGGAATTCCACTGTCGGGAAGTGCGAGATAAGAAGCTATTAGAGTAGAAGAAACGGCTACATTTAACCGTTTCGACAGTGAAAGGGTGGGACCGAGATGCCAACCTAGTAGCACGCTTAAATTCATGCATTTGGGGTACCAGTGAAAGTAGATCGTCAGAGCAGTTGCCATGAAAATATTTGTAGAAAAAAACAGAAGAAAGCCACAGTACGTCTGTGAGAAAGTGACTGTAGACGAGATGCCAGATCACATTGCATATCCGTCTATATACGGATGCCTTTTACTCACTTCTCTGTGTGAGTTATTAGTACATTCAGGAAGGCTAGCTGATAATTATTTTCTTCTGTTGTGAACTGGATCGAAGGTTATATTGAGTTCACATGGTCCAGTAGCATTTGTGCAACTTCCTGGTGAGGCCACAATATGAAGGTATCATCTATGTATCTGTTATACCAGAACATTGCCTATTCTATTGTAATAGACTCTCCCACACATAATAAGTAGTAGTAGTAGCGGTCACCAGTTGAGCTCAGTGGTGTTGAGTGAGTCAGTCGATGTCGAACATTGAAGTATCAACCATCACAATTAGATTGCTGCGTCATTAACTCATTTCAAGTTCGTAACGTTTTGTACGTCGAACCTAATTTAGGACGACTTATTGAAATACAAGCCTTCACTGTGAAAAACTACTCTACAACAGTATCTCAGCTGCAATATTGACTTCAGGGCTGCTAATTCCATTTTCACGAAGTATTCCATTCCATATATATATATATATATATATATATATATATATATATATATATGTACAGCATCACTGGTGACAATAGTGAACCTATAACCAAGCGAGGTGTTTGACTCCAATCGTTTCACTGTCAGGGCCTCATCCGTAGGAACTCTGGTGAACAGGCTCAGTACATTCAAACTTCGATTGCTATGGATGGATGTCCCTAGGATCGATCACACGTGTCCCTAACATATGACGAGGATCTTCCTTGCTAGTGGGTTGACTAGATTCACTAGAAATCTGCTTAGCGTGTGGCATGCCGAACCCCTGCAGTTGACTATAGATTTCAATGGAATGTTAAATTTGTGAATTTTGCTGAGACAATACACATGAAGCAGCTGTCTATAATTATTTAGTATGAAGTTGTTCTTATTTAGAATCAGTGACAGCTTCTTCTCAGTTTCTAAGAGTCAGATCGTTTTTACCTTGTATTTCGGAGTATTCCAATTTGTACATCACGACCGAATTTTCTGATACGAATGATTAATGACATCATTACCTAGACAGGGCAGAAGTTGGCAGCATGATGATATAACTGTCACTCTAGTGACACTTGTCTTGATTGTAAATCTTTTGTAGCGATATTAGTGTCAGCTGATATCTTGTTAAAAGAAAACACCAGAAAGATGTTACAGAAACTTTTTCGACATTTATTGTTTTGGCAAAGAAGGTTAGCCTAATGTATGGACCTCGCAAGGACCAGGTCAAGCGATCCTGACAAAGAAGATCACTGAGTGAAGTCAGACCCTAGGTTCTTGATGAATTACCTTTTTAGACAGGGCTGAAAAGATAAAGAATAGTGCAAAAAGCCAGAAAGGCATAGGAAGGGACATAGAAAAACACGCTCGTTGGACTGTTCCCCCTATCAACACGCCTCATCTTTGTCTCGCTCGTCTGCAGCAGAAGGTTACAACCAAAATAAAATTTCGTAACATGATTTTATTTCGTGGCTAGCGATCTGCGCAAACGGCTATTTTTTAAGCCGCAAGAGTTTGACTGGATGAAGCTGCATCCTGAGAACGAATCTTGTGAGTCTGGTCTGAGTTACAACGTTCACCTTCTTCCCTTGTGATGTTCGATTTAGGTGATTTGGCTTTATCAGGTGCTTCTCTCATTTTCCATCTTAGTTTATTTATGATGCTAGTGGCGACATTGAAACTCGTGTTTAGCACTGTTTTCTCAACTACCAATTGCTGATATTGACGAATGCTCTTACCAAACAAAGTGAAACCTGCATTCTGCTCCAATTCTGTTCTCACATCTGTGCAAGTTTCTGTATTTGGCCAGCCTTGACCCTTTGAAATTCTTGATTGTACGCCTTATACAAGTTTTGTTGGATTTTGTATTTATCTGGTTCAAGCATTATTTTTTTAAGTAATGTCCTGGTCTATTCGGAGAGTTCATATTTTGTAACCCATCAGTTTTGATAATCCTTTATCGTTGATACACCTATCACTTCTCACACACTACACCCCCTCGGATCCGAGCTCTGTCTCTTTTCCTCGTTTTCTTCTAAGTCGCGAGTCGTTAGCACTGCTAGCTTTGTTGATTAATACCGACCTTACGGGTCATCCGGCTTTCTTTTCTCTCCTCGGTTGGGACCAGTGTGTCGTCTTGATAAGGTTGTTTCGGGTTTCTCTTAATCTTACGATATTGGGATTAGTGATGAACTCCTTACATAGATCGTGTACCATAGACAAGATAACATAATTCCTGTTTATGTTCGCGGTAAACTTTTTTTACTTCCGCCCGAGTGCAGGTCGGAAATCGAAGTGGAATAAGAACTCCTTCAATAAAAAAGAACAACACTGTTGATAACACTAACAACAGGTTGGTTGAATAAAATGTCTCTATTAGCGATTCATAATGTCCAATTTCATCATCACCATATTTCTATAAGTTGAAGAGCTGGCGTTTCAAACCAGCACCTGAAATCCAAAATAGTGATTGATATAAAGATTGCAGACGACTGTCGCAGAAAACGACACATCTTAATCTTAAACGATCTTGCTAATTGGCTATATGATATTTCCTTTATATATTCAAAGTATTCCTAGATATATATTTCTGCAATTTTCCGGAACCTAAGGAATTCGGACCACATATTAATCGTCTTTTTCTTATCGGCTGGAAGTGGATAGGGTTGTGTACCTTGGTTTTGCTCAATTTTATTGAATCTTGTCTAGTTAAATATGTGTTCAATTCTCTTTGGAACTGTTGTTAATTTCATTTTATCATTTTAAAACATAAATTTTAACGGGATTCATTTTTAATTTACATCTCAATCATTCAACTGACTCTCCTGAGAATTTTAACAATTATCATCCAATAAGTAGTCTCTCCACATTACCATCCTGTTATTTCATGCATTTAGACGTTTAAACAAAGCCAGTGTCTATTGCACTTCTTGCTCTTCACACACAAGTGAAAATGGACATTGCTTCGTTCATTATGGTAAGATATTCTTGACTTCACCTTTGTCAAGTAGTAGTATAAGATTGTTTCATGCTGGCCACATGTTCATTAAATGTTCACACCATGAGTCCCCCCCATACTTTTCTATTCTTCATTTTCCGCCAAGAAAAAAAAAATCTTGATAATTCATGCAATTCTATTAGAAATTGGATTTTCTCAATCTAATATTTCCGTTCTTTTTTGTCTCTTTTAACTATGCAAATACGAAGTTTCGTCGCTTCCTTAGAATTTTATGTCAAAAGCCTTTAATCTTTAATTTTCTTGACTGCAGGTGTTCGTTTTCTTGGTAACTCCACAGGGAGGTCCATCATTGAGTCTCCACCCTCTTCAACATATAGGATGATCTCCATCATCCTCAACTGCCCCCCCACCATGACGCCATTTCTTTCGATTTCGATTTTTCCTTAATCATTAAAACTCCCAAAACTATTACAACTATCATGATAATAATTCCAGAAAAGGTTGACCCTGCCACTGAACCTGTCCCCGGTCTATTACTGGTGGGTCCTCCCTCTGATATAGTTCTTAATTTATTCACTAATTGGTGTAGATTACTTTTTTTAGGTTTAACATTTTGGGGATTTCGAAGGCCTTAAATTTAGGGAACTCTTCAGCGGATCTCACAAGCTGGTCCAATTACATTAATTAGCACTTACTCTAGGGATGTAGTTTCATATTTCTCCTCTACTTCATAATAATGGTGATAAGGGCAATGACTTACCAAATAGCAGAACATCCCATAGGTAAACTAATGGTCCGTCCTGGGTAAGACGTTAAATTACATCCGCGTCCTGGGTAAGACTTTAAACTACGCCCAGCAGCAAGGCCTCTGATCAGGAGGTTTTGAGGAGCGTGGAACCACCTCTTAATTGCTGGTGTTCCCAGGTCCACCCTGAACCAGGGTGGTAGCACCTGTTAGGGTCACAGCTATGGGAAAATAGTTAACTATTACCAACAATACTTTTATGAAACAAATTATTAACAGCAATACAATTATGAAGGAAAGATATTACCAGATCTGGTGGCAGCTGTAAGAGGCCGCCCAAATTCAGGTGTCACTTGTATCATTGCATAAGGTCATTGGCTTACTTAGTCTTGTAGGCCAACAGAGCATTGTTGTTAATTGCTCTTTTAGTATCGTCATCGGGAACGTTGGCACTCGGCTCATTTAAATCAAGTATTTCTTCTGTTAGATTTATCGTAGGACCATTATATTCTCGAGAACCTGAACAACCTCTATGTCCACCCACCCAATGACTCCTCGAACTTTCTTACTGTACGTGGCTCCAGGTTGGATCTTATCACTTCTATATTATCTATATCGGGTTTAACTCCATTCTTATTACTGACGAACCCAAATAATTGGTTTGTCCTTAAGAAACCTTTGTGGCAACTTTAACTTTAGCCCATGCTTTCACAATCTGCAGATGCTGAAGTGCTCAATTGATATTTGGAAAATACCAGCATCTGATCACATGTTTCATTGCAAAATTCTTTCCAACCCACTCAACACTATTGACATTAATTTTCGAGCATTCCTGGAGTTCTGTGTAACCTTGTGGCCACTTCTCTGTGCTATTTCGTAGTCTTTTGCTAAAACCTGTTGGCCTGGTTTGAAAGTACGACTTATCATGTCCCATGATGGCAATTGAATTGTTGTTCCATTGCTGTTTTATCTTGGGAGAATTCAGCACTTGGACGTGCTGACATATAAGACATAACCAAATTTTGTGGTTCATCAGAGCCTTTGCAGGTAGAGCAACTGTTTGGGGTATTTGTGTTTGGTGGCTCTTTTAACCGTCATTTCGGTTAATGCCATCCCCTTTAACTTTTATGTCCCAAAATTATCTACTAATTGCTCAACTTTTTCCATTCAATTGTGAATGAAATCGGTGTGTGTCTTTGATATTCGCCGCCAGGAACGGTACCTGCTGAAGTAAAATCCATTGGTAGTAGAAAATATTTTCCATCGATAAGTCTTTCAAAATCAATATGGTGGGACCAAGGAGAATCCAGGGATAGCCAAGAAGAGTTTCTTGGGCATTTTGTTGCTAAAAATGACATTTCAGCAGTTATCAGCAGTTCTTTTAATTGTTGCTTGCCCATGTTTGGCCAATCATAGCTGCGCACCAAAGCGTTCAAACGAAACAACAGTCAATGAAACAATCACATCGTCCTCCTCTAAACATACAAACTACATTCACGATAGACAATGATAATTTCATGTGAAAAGGTTGAATCTTGTTCAAACTCATCTGGTTTTCACTTTTGTACCGTAGAGAGAATCATCTGCAACAGTGGGTCAGTTGCGCCTCTGAATCATCTGCGAGGTGATGAAAAGGTGCTCTACAGCACTGTGGGCATTGAAATAATTTGGTTCCATCGACACACTGCAGCAACAACCAAGTCTTCAGATAAATTCTGGTGTGCATACATAAGTCTGAATAGATATTTGTCACAAATTGAATTGCTGATTGGTACCATTGAAAAGTCAATCCAATAAATAATTCGTGACCCATCTTGTAGCCGATTTGCAGTATAACAAAGAAACAATTTTTTTAATCCAAAATATTAACCAGGGTAAAAGTAAATTAACGTCCATAAAGCATTTTAGAAATTTCTTTATAAGCAACATAATTACAAAGCTCTTCTCAATTTGAACATAGCTGTACCTGTAGGATTCAAAGATCTTACTGCATGACTACCATCATGAAAACGTGGAAATCACAGCTCCAAATAGCATGGTACCAGCATCCGAAACCACAATGATATCAAGAGATGAGTTATAATGAGAAGTAAATCTGAAGGCCAAAGATTTTATCTTTTGAAGGCAGACTGACATTCTGGTGACCAGGTCTATAGAACATCCTTTTCAGAATATTGTCGAGGAATACGAACATAGTGAGTCCTGATAAAATGAACTGTATTGACTCCCCTTACTAAACAGAAAAGAACGTAATAGTGCAATGTTTATTGGTGTGCTGACATATTGATAGCAGCAATATGTTCCAGGTCTGGTCGTCATTCATGTATATCAAATTTAAACTCCAGATCGTTGATCGAACATCCGAAAAAACTGACATTCCCCTGCTTAGACATGAAAAACCATTTACTGAATCCGTTCAAGAAAGATAATAAACGCTTCAAAAAGTTCATCTTGAGTTTCACTTGAAATAATGGTATCTATATATCTGTATTCACTTGTACACACAATGATATTTATATATATATAACAGAGGATGTCTGTGTGTGTGTGTGTGTGTGTGTGTGTGTGTGGAGTGTGTATGCGTCTGTCTGTGTGATACCTTTAATTTTTTTCAGATTTTGACTAAATCCTAAGCATACATTGTGTCACAAATGTAAGAGAGATGTTCTAGCGCAAACGATAATTTAAAAAAAAATCAATAATCGATAAAGTTTTCGATCAAAATCGATAAATTCAACTTTTTCTCCGATTTCATTCAAACTCGGTATATGTAGGTTACTATAACGAGATGAACTCAACGATACCGCTCTTTTGTTTACATGCCGTGCTATGAAAAACTGCGAAAAAAAATCGATTTCAACATAATCAATTTCAACACAAATTGTAAACTAAAAACTCACTCAATTTTCTTGCAATCTAATAAGCAAACTTCACTCACTGTAACCAACAATAAGTTGACGTTTAACAATATTTACTTGATAATTGAGTCCACCCATATAGTGAAAAACCAGCGTAAATAGCGAAAAATGGCGATTTTTACTAGTTTCTTCTTATTTTTCGTTGATCTTTCAACCAATTTCATCAAACTTAACAATTGCTTTATAAATGTATCCTCCAATGCATCCACACTGATAAATTGAATTTCAAACTCCAAAATAATTGTGGTCTGAAGTGGTCTTCGAGTTGCCTGTTTCTAATTTTTATGTCCTCAACTAACTTCGATTGAATAAATACAGACTATTTTTGTTATATCAGTAAATGAATTGATTCAAAATTTTTAATGAAAGTAATTTAAAGTAATAGAAGAAGATAGACACTGTTGTCTAAACATGATGTGCTGTTTTTTGCTTCTATTCTGTTCTTCGATCGACCAGCTGGCTATGGATGCTAGTTAACAATAAATGTAGCGGTTCCAGTCAGACTATCAATATATCATCCATCACCCGCTGGAATAAGCAGGAACTGACTTAACGCCAATGGTAAACCGATTGTATTGAATAAACTCATGGTGTTGATCGTTAGAAATTCGTCCGAATCATCATCAACTTTTATATTAGTATACAAAATCACAAGATAAATCAATCTTCGTAAAGCAAGTTCCATTGGGTTTATTGAAACATTCTGGTTTAGGTAACGACAGTGATGTACTATGGAATCATTTTAAACCTTGGAAAAAATTTTCACATATAGGAATTTTTTAATGTTTGCTTTCTTTGACTACAAATAATGGGAGCTGTCATGTAATTTGTTGGTTACTTTTCGGCTTCCCGAGGCGATTAAACCTCTTTTCTACTAAATCAAGAGCAAGGAATAGGGCGTCTTGCCTAAAAAAACTGTATCACATCGGGTTCCAATCTTGAGGTGGGCTTGAACCTGGTGCAGCAACTGAGATTCTCCGTGAACATCGTTTTGAGAGAATGCAAAGTTGTTTTCAATCTCGGAAACTGAAAGAGAAAATGTGTTAAACATAGTGTTGAAAATGGTTTAGAGAAAGAACCAGTACATCTATCCAGTCAAACTAATCAAATTGAGACCAGTGTCCTGACGTAACATGTACCAGAGAAAATCTTTCTCAAAAGAACAAACACTACAACTAAACTCACCGGATAGCAACTTTCATCACCAGAAGCACTCCGAGCAATGTGGTCCATTTTCAGTAGTCCGACTTTTCGATTGTTACCACGTGAACCGTGGAATTAAAAGTAATGGCCGAAGCCAACAAACTGAAAACGAACTCGGGATTTTGTTGACAGAAACATTAATATACTTTATGAGATTCAAATTCAAGTCGAGGACACCGAATGTGAACTTGTTCGTTTGCGATAAGGCTTGTTCACAGATTTTTGACTGGCTTTTGAAGTAGAACTGAAAATTTAGTTCGCAAGCGGCGATAAAAGTTTTCCTTGTGTCTGCGTTTGTAGTATAAATGATTTTTATGTTTTTGGTACGGACAAGAATGAGAACAATCATCGCAAAACCAACATGCAGAAGGAGGAGTTTTCTTTGACGCTTGACGCTGGTTGCAGACGAATTTGGATGCGAATTGGTCGAACCATTATTGCGGCCCTTTTATAACCTAAAAGTCTTCGCACTCTGCTCTGAGGACTTTCACAGTTATATTTTTGTCTTGCTCCAGTTTAGATAATAGCCATGTGCGCAATACTGTGAGTCATTTGAGATTTAAGGCCACCATGAAGATGAG